TATGTATTTTCGAATATTTGAATTTTATTTATTTACAAACAAATATTCGAATATACTATTTTCAAACGGAAACCCTAACCTCCACTGCTACCACACCCGCTGTCCAAAACATTTGGAAGCAAATCAACTTGAAAGAAGAACCTAATTAGTGTCAAAATTGAAAATAAAATACATGTAAATCATCATTATTTTTTCTTTTTATTCTTTTACTAATAAAAAAAAAATAAAAATAAATAATTTAAAATTTTTCTTAGGCTATATTTGTATTTAAAAACAATCTTTTTGAAAAAGGATTATCAGCTAAGCAATGTCGGCCATCTTAATAATTATAAATTATTAATTCATTATTATTTTAAAAACGAAAGTTCTGAATCATCTGACGAAAGAAAAGCGGTAATCAAAAAAGTTTCATCGATTCAAATGAAGCTTTGTTTACCATTTAACGTGATATTATTTAAATTTATCGTTCAGCCAAATAGACAAATATTATTTTTATTACGATAAATTTGCAGGCATCATAACTTATGCATTTTACAGTTCGCATGTCTGTCCGACGAAGGGAAAATGATCGTTAAAAAATCTTCAATAGCAAAATACATCTTCACGTTAACCATACGCACGCTGCTTGGCCTAGGAATCGAAACTTCCGAAGTAAATTTCGTTTTATTTAGAATTTGACACTGACTTACAACATAAATATACTTTTTAACAGGATCATAATCGGAAGAAAATATAGTAACGAGATTCGATATCTTTAAAACTCCGGTAGCGTTAAAACTGATAAAACTATCGATTCCGAGTACCATAACATTAGGATAATCAGGACAAGCTTGCAGCAAACTATTCTCTAATTGATGTAGAATAGCATTGACAATGAAAAGTGTTGCAAATAGAATGAGTACCAAAACAAAATTTGTATATAAGAGTTTCTTTTTAGTTTTAAAAAAACTGTTTAATCTCATTGGTTTTAAAAATGGTTTTAAATTCTACAAAGCAATACTAGGTAATGATTATCGCTT